GAACAGCCAAGAATAAAATCTTCTATGCTGTCCCAAATCTTGTTAATCACATTATTCTTATTAAGTGGAGGAATATAGATATTGAAAAGCAATATTAAGCATCCAACTTTTACTACAATACAATGGAGGCAAGAATAGACTCTAGGTAATAAAAACAAAGGACAAAGTAATTACTTAAATACTTAGGTACTGAAATTCTGCATATGAAGAATATCTGTATAAATTCATGTGAATGTAAATGTATGTGAATATAAATAAAATTATACATAAGTCAGTGACAAATGACATAGAACAGGAGAAATAAAAACCTAGGCCTAGTAAACAGATTTAAAAGGGCATGATGTTCCTGTACTATTTCTGCCCAATAGCAGTGACTGTTCACATGTTTTTACCTTGTATGCTCAGATACTTTTATACAACAAAATAAATATGAACATGCTTTAAAGTTCTCCTTCAATATTATGTGGGAATGTAAGGAATATGTGATTAACAATACAGTTATACATTCCAGGGAACTTAGTTTCGTTGTGGTTCCCAGCTGAATATTGTACACCTCATGTCAATTTGTTTCTATGAACAAACAGTGAAAATATGAAATAGTACTGAGCTTTTTTGAGCATCATTGTAGTTTCTCACATCTTTTTTTCAGGAAAGAGATAATAATTAAAGAATTCAGTTTGATTTTAAAGAAGATTAGTGCTTATTTTTTTGTGTATGCTGAAGGAAAAACATTTATCTTAAAACAACTTTAAAATAAGAGACCAAGACACACTTACATTGAAGTAAAATTTGATTGATTAACCGATGATTTATTAGTGACCGGAAGTCAGGAATAAAGACTTGAAAGAGGACAGGAGTTTCATCCCTGTTTATAGAATTATGCAGATCATTTTCATAGTTATATTAGTCAATTTGGTCTAGTAGTTGAGGCATCAGGGTAGAAACCAGGAGAGTGAGTTTTAGCTTTGGCCATAAAAGCCAGCTGGTTGGCATTGGGTTTGTTATTCTCTCTCAGCCCAGCTCATTTAACGATTGTTGTGGGGAAAATAGAATGAAGAACATATGTTGGATATATCACTGCTTTAAGTTATTTGTAAAATAACAAACAAATGAATATATAAATATGCAATTTGTCATAGCAGCCAACATTATTGATACAATTAACATTACTGGGATAATTCTTATATATATATATATATATATATATTAAAATATTTAATGAATGATGTATAAATGATTGATCATGCATAACAGAATCTTCAATATAAATAAAGAAATTTTTAGAATTTGGAATTATAACAAGTTATTTTAACATCACTATTATCAAAGCTAACCTGGATCCGAGTGCTTAATGCTAACAGTCTTCTTAGCATTTGTTAACTTCTGTGGCGAGCATGTGTTCCTTTACTTTGTTTATATTATTTTAGCTACAACTTAAAATTCCAGGCACCCATTTGTTTCTAGATGAATTTGATAGATTGATAATTAGAAAACACAAGGAAATTTGGGCCCTTGTTTAATTTATTCGAATTTACCCTCACAATGTACTATTATTTTGTGATACCTTATAAGATAATTTCTTTCAACAAGTATTTGTAGATCAAAATATATGAACATTCAGGGAAATTTTAGTGCAATTTATACAGAAAATTAACTGTAGCATTCTCACAATTAAAAAAACAGTTCTGATACACTTATAATAATTCTAAAAGAGTAAGTAGAAAACCAGAAGTCTTCTTAAAAAGGAAGATATTTAGGAGAACAGAGGACAGGGTTATTTTTGTGTGGGGAAGGAAGTTTTGAATTTATGTGTTCATTGTTAAGGGATTTTCTTGCTTTGTAAGTTGGACGGGGGCGAAAGAAAGAGGTGTATGGAGGGTCGAAGAGGTATATTGGATTCCTATTTTGGGGGGTAGTGTTGCCAAGAGGAATTGCTGTGTTTATTGTTTAATGTTGTATGGCCCCGGTTATGTACAGTATATATATGACTGTATGAAAATGGAAAATAAAAACACATTTTACAAAAAGAATTGCTAGACTGTTGGGAGGCTATTATCTTGCTTGGAAGTCTTGTCTTGATCTCTGAGAAGAGATGGGAAAGTGTTGGATGCTAATGCATTCCCAGATTGGGATCCAATGGCTCATAGCTCCAGTCCTGTCTGAAGATTTGATTTATAATTCTTTTATCTTTGAAAATATTAGCTAGGAACTTGGGATTTGAATCTGATTCTTACTTTATTTTTCTCACTTTACATACCAGGACCCCCCTCTGCACCTCGGAGTGCCATCTCAAATGTTAACGAGACTAGTGTCTTTCTGGAATGGATTCCTCCTGCTGATTCTGGTGGAAGGAAAGATGTGTCTTATTATATTGCATGCAAGAAGTGCAACTGGCACTCTGGGCTCTGTGAGGCATGTGGCAGTCATGTCAGGTACCTTCCACATCAAAACAACCTGAAAAACACCTCTGTGATGATGGTAGACCTGCTTTCTCACACAAATTATACCTTTGAAATTGAGGCAGTGAATGGTGTGTCCGGCCAGAATCCAGCAACACGGCACTTTGTTTCAGTCAATGTAACCACAAACCAGGCAGGTAAGTGCAAGTTCACACAGATAACTAGGCTCCTGAGAGGGCATAGGCTATAATTCTTTTCCAGGTTAGAAGGTGCATAAAAAGAAATAATAATTTGCTTGAAATAATAATTTGCTTTCAGTAAAGAGCATTTTTGGTCACTTCTTCAACTTGGATTAAAGAACATGCATTACTAAACAACATAATAAAATTGCTTCTTCTCATGTTAATAATGAACCATGCAGGAGTTATACAAAATAGATCTTCACCATCAAATTCTCATAAAATATAAAAGATTCAATTGTTACTACTTGTAATAGAAAGGATGGTGAAATATACATGTTTGCCAAGAGCCATTAATATAGCAGATAATCTCTTTACAACTAGTATTTGAAAAGGAAAAACATTAAATATGTTTAGTTCTGTTAGTGTACTTCTTCCATAGAATATCACTATCAGTTATTGTCAAAATATAAAGGACATTAGTTTAAATTTGTTGTCATTTTATTTTTATTGTGGTTACTATTATAAGAAATGTGTTGTTTCTATACTGTAGGTGAAAACATATATTCTGACAAGCAAAAGATCTTTATGTGAGATAAGAAAACAGAAACCAAGCAGAGTGCCCCTAATAGGAAATGTTTGCATATGATGTAATAAAAGATATCTCACAGAGTCTTGTACAAACTACTAAAATGCATGCTTGCCTTTTCTTTGCTCTATAATTTTATACCATTGCAAGTCTCTTGTAAAATATGATACTTGATGAGAAATATAATTGGAAAACAAAATAACAGATTTAGCATTTTCAAAACATAGTCATGAAATTGTTTTTCTTGGTTCAATCACATTTGAAGAAATCAATTTCAAATGAAGAGCATTTTGTTGAATAATATGCCATGAACAGAATCTGTAGTATCATCAATATCTTTTATTAAAGGTCATAAAAATCTGTAGTTAAATTTCATTCTATTTAATTGCCAGTATGTTCTTTGAATAAGCGATTGGACCTCAATAGTCAATATAACTATTGAGTAATTATAGAATTTCCCCTTGGTATGACAGTCATGAGAAAAATAAATGATACTTTCAAACCATTCAACAAATATTAAATCCTTTGATCCCCCCCCCCACCAGCCATTACTCAAGTTGTCACATGTAGTATGGTGGGAGGGGGAAAGGTGGTTGTCTGTCTAGTTTTGTGTTATCTTTTTCATCACTGCTTTAAAACTTGTTCACAATTTTATTTTATCAAGGCTTAGCAGTGGCTGAAAGTAAACACAATGAAGAAATAGAATAGTGATGAAAATAAACCTAAGTAAATGCCTTGTATTCTCTTTTGTCTAGAATGTTGTACCATTACCCCGTGAGTTTCTTTGTTTTATACCAACTATCTTCAGAAAGATGGAAGGATGGCTAAAGCATGAACATTAAAAAAAAGTCATAGGCACACATAGCTTAACAATAAAACAAAATGACGTTCGTAGTGGCCAGGAGCTTACCTGGTACTTTGCCCAAGATCTGGGGAAAAAGCTAAATTTGCCAAGGTTTCTGGAACTACATTAGAGTGAGAAACATACAATCTCTGAGGAGTGTCAGGTCAGAAAAGTCACACTTCCTACATCTTAATAAAAGTCATTGTTTTATTGGGGGGATCTTGAGTACATATACTCTGTGTCAGATCTGCCCCAATCTGTTGCCTTAGGAAAGAAAGACCCTTGACTCCATTGGGGTGAAGCAAAAGGTTCTTTTATTAAAGATATGTTGGCTGCAGTAAGATCAGTCTAGATTTCAAACACTCAAAAGATGCAAAAAGTTTCCCATCATCCCAACCTTCCCCCTCCCTGAGACCAATCTATCTTCATCCAGTCAGAACATGCTAAGATGTTTTGAGAACATTGAAATATTTTGGAGTAATTGACATTCTTTCTCAGGTGCCTGGCCTTGTATTCTAGTGCAAACTGCTGCTGAGCTTCTCTGGCCTTCATCATCTGCCATTCCCTCTTCCCTATTTCCCGTCACATACACACACAGCTTTATTGCCCATTTATCATACTTTCCCCTTTCTAGCCTTTGATGGCAGGATGCCTGTGAGGTATCAAGCTGCACCTAGCAGATCTGATATTCTGCTCCCCTTGATAGAGACATCAGTCCCACAGAGGGAAAAAAAGAGAAGAGGAAGAGAGACACAAAAATTCTCCAATTAGAAGACAGTACAATAAGGCTTATCTTATATAATGCTTATGGAATTTTTAAAGCAATCTGGAGGCCTTAATGTGTTAGGAATCAACCCATACAGTCTCTGAGGAAGGAAAATCTTACCAAGCTGCCAAGTACTGGTATTTGCCCAATGTCTACAGGAGTCCAAAAATCTCCGACTTCAAAGTATTGCTCTCCCTCAATCATAATGGGATCAGGAGGTGGTTGTGACAAAGGGTGTAGGGAATATGTGATCTCTGCTTTCAATATGCTGCAGTGAAATACAGAGTGTATGCATCTGAGCCTTTTTGGTACAAGTTCTATAGTTGTTGGGTTAATAATCCTTTTTATGGGGAAAAGTCCAACATACTTTGATCCCAATTTTTTGGACGGTTATCTAGATTGTAAGAATTAGATTGATAGACAGACAGATAGACAATCCTTATGTCCCACTTTAAAGTTCCTAGGCTTCATGTGTTTTTTATTGGCTTGCTTCTTATTTGCTTCCCTAGCTTCATCCAAACTTTTCCTTATCACTGGTGAGATATTCTTAGTTGGGTGATACACTCTTTTAGTGGTGCAGTCGATGGAGTGGTCTGAGGCAATTTAGGGATAGTTACAAAATCCTGGCACTTGACTAGGTGCAGGTTTTTTACAAAGCTGAAGTATCCCAAAACCTTTGAATCATGGCTATTTTGTAGAACCATTAATTGTTGGCTGTGCAGGATGTACAATTTAGCTCCCCCCACCCCCCGGCAAACTAAACCATCTTGCATTGTACATTCATCCTTGTGTCTTCCTCCAAATCTGCTTTAAGAGTATCTTTAGAGCCCCATCATGTACAAACACAGTTTTATTGCTCATTTATCCCACACACACATACTTTCTAGCCTTTACGGGCAGGATGCTTGTGAGGCATCATGCTGTGCCTGGCAGAGCTGACACTCTGACTGATCTTATTGCATATGCAGAAAAAATAGAAGATAGTAGATCCTTCAAATAACCTGGCCCTGTCTGATGATGAGCACTAAAAATGATGACCAGCACCTTAAATTGCACCTCGAAGCCCACCAATGCAAATTGCAACCAATGCTATTTGAAGAGCAGCAGTATTATATGGGTGTCTATCGCTTTTGAATATAATATTATATATTTACAGAGTTCTCTGTTATAAAATGCTGGAATTCAAAACTACTTTGTTTATAATGTTTACTATAATCTGAAAGGACCTATTCAAACTATCTTTTTGGAGAAACATTTTCCCCTATTAATGGTCTTGGAAGTGATCCAGCTTTATTCTGTTCTTTGTCAAAGGATTAAGATTGGGGGGGTAGGGCGGCGGGGAACCACCCTGCCTCATATTGTAATGCTTGAAGAACTTTGAAACAAGGAATGGTTTGAAAACGTTAGTAAAATGACATATTACATGTGTCAAAATGTAAACAGTACTTTGTTTGTATTATATCAAAGCTGTTCCATTAATAGATTTATATACTACGTTTCTAAGCAAGTTCTTTCTGGAATTCATGGATAGCATCTATCCTCAGTCATAACTAATTCAATTGAAATACTGGGCCCTAACTAAGAAAATGAAATTCAGTGGTGAGAAAAGTAAGATTCTACTTTTAGGCAAGAAAAAACAAATGCATACATATAAAATCAGTGGTACCTGGCTCAATAGTAATAACTGCAAGATGGTGGGCAGTCACTTACATAGGAGCCAGCAGTGTGCTGCACCTGGCAAAAAAGCTAGCATATTCCTAGACAGCATTAGTAGACGGATAGAATCAAGATTACATAAAATGTTAATGCTATGTTGTAATGTCTTGTAAGACAACATTTGGAATATTGCATTCAGTTTTGGTCACCACAATATAAAAAAATATATTATGTTGAGATTCTCGAAAGAGTGCAGAGAAGAACAACAAAGGTGATTAGGGGATTGGAGGCACATAAAACACATGAAAAATAGTGGCAGGAATTGGGTATGTCTAGTTTAATGAAAAGAAGGACTAGGATTGATAGCAGTGTTTCATTATCTTAAGGGGCTGCCATAAAGAAGATGGGGTCAACTTATTTTTCAAAGCTGAAGGCAGGACATGAAGCAATGGATGGAAATTAATAAAGGAGAGAAGTAACCTAGAACTAAGGAGAAATTTCCTAATAGTGAGAATAAATAAATGGAACGGCTTGCCTCCAGAAGCGGGTGCTCCAACAGTGGAGGTTTTTAAGAAGAGATTGGACTGCCATTTGTTTGAATGAGTAATAACGAACCTTTTCAGCACTGAGTGCCCAAACTGTCATGTGCGTGCCAGCCATCTGGTCTTTGGGTTTCCGGCACCCACATGTGCATCGGTCAACTGGTCTTTGCACGCAGTGCAAATGGTTACTAAATCTGCATTTCTGCAATTTGATATAAGCAAAAATTGGTGTCTTGCACCTTAAATCATGTGTTTTGTCTTCTAAATCCTTATTCTTATTAGGAGGGAAAGATGACTCAATCTCATTCCTGCCCATACCTCTGATTTCTAAAATTTCAGTGCACATGCATTATCATCATCGTCACCATCATTTTAGCCATTGTCCATCCACTGCAGGATAAAGGCTCCTTCCACATGTTTCCAACCTATACAGTTCTGAGCTTTCTTTTGCCCATTGGGGCACAATACTTGCTGATGTTTTGAGTCTCTTTCATGGATGCTTTTTATTAAGTGGGATCCATTCTATAACTGCTTTGATCCATCTGCCATCAGTTCTGCTTGTTTGTGCCAGCCCATTTCTATTTCAATTATTTCACTCTCTTGATGATATTGTATACTTTT